GAACACGCCAATGTAGCTATGATAATCCTTTTTTCGTGTGCGTGTAAGGAGTGTGTGTGTGTAAGGAGACTGTGTTATTGCGTTAAGAGGGGACACAAGTTACTTGTATAAATTTCCCCGTGATAAACTAAACGACCCGACTGCACCGGTGCCCGAGACTGTGCCGCCCCCCTGCCGAACGCCTCGATCGCCGACTCCCATTGTTGCCTCAACGCCTCAATCGCTGTCGGTCGTCGCCCAACAATAATACTCCATCACAAAGTTTTCAAAATTTGAATGAATTCAGTAATTTATATATACCGCGTTTAAAAAAAAAGAAAAAGAAAGCTGAATTATCTAGCGAACCCACGCTATACTAAGAGAGTAAAGTACACACGCAGGGGGGTACACGGTGCCCCCGGGTGTACCAGATAATTTACCTTCTTTCTGTTGCGTTCGGCCCACATGTGATAAATACAAAAAGTAATAGCTGCAAGCAGCACTCTTCTTTTCATCTTTTGAAAGCGCCAGATTTTGAGTAATCTGTTAGCTAAACTTCTCAATCCTTGCATCCTCAGAGAGAGTCTCACCCACTGCAATACTGCTGCAAGTATTTCTTGTGAGTAAAGGCAGTTAAAAACACACAAGTGGTCAGTTGTTTCCTCCTTCACTTCACAGAGTTCACATTGTTCCACTCCATGAAAGAGGTTAAACTGCCTAAATCTGTTCTGAGTTGAAAGTCTTTTTTTTCAGTGCAAGCCAAGCAATGAAACTGTGCTTTGGTGCATTGTAAGGGCTCCATATTAGATCAGTATCTTTACATCTAAGTCCTTTCCCTTGCAACCAAACATAACCTGCTTTTGCTAAGAGCTGTTTACTGCTTGGACCTTGCCACACCCCTTGCTGCAATCTAGGTTTCAACTTTTCCTCACCTTCATCAATTTTTTTCAATGCCACCCACAATCATGTGGAGGGGCATAACCCCAAACTGATTGTACTTTTAGGTAATACTCATGTACCCACCTAATCCATTAACTTTCCTTTCTGTCAGCAATATTCTAGATATGCTTGCCAACCATAGCCTGATTCCAAATTTTCGGGTTTTTGATATGCAGCCCTTCCTTCTTGCTTTTACAGACATCATTCCAGGAGACAAGAGACCAAGCCCTGCCTGATTCTTTTTTTATCCCAGAGAAACTCCCTGCAGAATCTTTCAATTTGCTGAATCACAGATTTTGTAGGAATGCATATTCAGCCTGTCCAGTAGGAATGCATATTCAGTAGTACATCATTTACTTACACCAATCTTCCTACATAGCTGAGATGCCTAGTAGACCAGCATTTCAGCCTTGCAACTATCTTTTCAACCACAGAACTGCAATCCCCCTTTGTCCAAGTAGTTGATGACAGCGACACTCTTAGATACCTGATAGGAAAACTCCCAACCTTGAAACCCATTAGTTTCTGAATTTGATCTTGTCTTTCAACACTGACCCCTCCAAAGCACAAGTTTGATTTTTGAGTGTTGACTGTAAGACAAGTAACTTCTTTAGAACAGATTTAATACGGCTTATAGTGGCGATATCAGCTGAACTTGATGTCGTTATATTGAGATTATGCATATTATGATTCAATTTTCAGTTCCTCCACATGAATGTATAATAACTACATAGTGTTTTAAATGGAACAAAGAGAGTAGAATTTATCTTGCAAAACTTTTACTCTGTAATTGGTCTCTTTCACATGGTTTATATTTTCTATTTTCTTTTGGTAAAAAGGTAAATTTGCTATTATGGATAAATCACCAAAAAAGGTACAATCTCAACTGTACAGACATCTCCTCTTTGGCTACAAAACTACATTGCTTTACATTCTCTACTCTATCACTAGGCATTTAACAATACATATCAAAATTTACAACTACTACTGAAAAACAAGCTACAGAATCAACCAGTATAGCTAAGGGAAAAATTCCTGCAGAATATGATCTTCCTTTGTGGTTCTGTTTTTCCTTTGCCTCCTGAGAATTCTGATTCGAACTTCCTTTTGTATTAGCATCAAAATCATGGCTGGACTCCTTTCTTCCTTTTCAAAGTATCTTCTATTCCGCTCTTCCCATATGTGGTAAATGCAAGCCGAAAATGCTGCAAGCAGAACTGCTCTCTTCAGTTTTGCACTCTTCCATATTTTCAGAATTTGGTTATTCTATCAATCAACATTTTCTAAGACTTTTGCACACCTCAACCATTTTCTTATACCATCCAACAGCTCCTTTGCAAACCAACACTGGAAATAAAAATTATACACTGTTTCAGCTTGCTGCTTACATAATAAACAGTCAGGATCAGGTACAGTCATCTACATTCTCATCAGCCTATCTCTAGTCAATAAAGGCATGCTTGGGTATAGTCCCCTTTGCCCATGTACAAGATGCCTCTTGCTGTTTTTCTCTCTTCTTAGTAAGCCATTGGTAACCCAAGGATATTGAGTAGAAACCTTTACTGTTAGCTAACCTGTAACAGCCCAAAAATCCCTCCTTCGCTAAATCCCGAATTTTTAATATTTGCTTCCACTGCCAGCTTGAGTCTAGTTTCACTTGTGATATGATTATATTTTACCTATTTATTATATCACTAATTTGTGATTTTTACAATATATTTTGAGTACAAATATACTATTTATATGATTTTATCTTTATTTGTAGATTTTGTACTCAAATGGAAGAATTGTTGAGGTTTTGGACTAAATTGAAGATAAAAGCAACTCAAAGGAAGAAATTGAAGCACTTGAAGAGTTGGAGGAGTTTTAATTTAAATTGGCTTGAAAAAAATAACTTTCTTATTCCTGAAGAAATAGAATTTAACGAAAGTCTATAAAAGGAGGATCAGGATTTTATTTTTGGGAGAGGAATTTGATCGAAAACCCACCAAAACCTACACCCAATACCTCAACCACCAACTCCTCCGTCGACCAAATCCTTTCTCCACCTTCCACTCCCACGCAGCCTTCCCCAACCTCACGCCTCCATCAAGCCTCCATCACCTCACCTTAATCAACATCAGCCCCATCACCCCCTACGCCTCATCACCAAATCAACTCCTCCCAGCCCCAAAATTCCACGCAACCCTTCTCCACGCGCCATCATTGCCAAGAGGAAGGAGAAGCATCGAATTAATTATTCGAACTCAACTTTTGGCCTACTTCTCCCGAGTTTCATTGTTTTATTTATTTTTGAGATGATGTGTAGCTAAATTGTTTAATCTAGGATTTTGGATGTAGCCGTCGTACTATTTAATTTAATTTAATTCATGATTGTGACTTTTTCATTAGTTGATATTTAATAATCTTATTTTTATTCCATGTGAGAATTTGATCATCACTTGCATGCTTTAAAGTTGCTTAACTGAAGTAACGACGGTTGAAGGTTAGCACTAGTTCGTGGGAATATTAAACTTAGGTAGTGAGTCAAACAGTAGGAACACCGCCTTTGCAGCTAGAGATTCTAAAGTTCTTAATCTTCTTTTATTAATCCCTATAGTCACGACAGTAGTCATAGGGTTAGTTTAAGTAAGAAATTATATCACGACAGTGAATATTTCTTAAATAGGTGAATCGTTGTGAGATTAATGAAAGTCTAAAGTCACATATCTATAAGTTGAGTTAACTGAGTAGTTGGTAGGTGAACCCTTTGCCCTAGGTTTTCTTTTATTTGTTTAAAATCTTAAATTAATTGTAATTGATAGTTTTGGGTTTAGATTAGTTTAAATTGATAAATTGTTAATCTAAATAATAATAAGAAATAATTTTAACCGGTACTTGGTAACCTTCTCTGTGGGATCGACCCTGCTTTCTGCTTTACTACTAGTAATCGTATTAAGTAGGTAATTAATTATTTGACTAGTGTGACGACGGCTTGCCAACTTGCACCTCCCAAAAATCATTATCCTTTATATAGACTGCATGTATCCACCTCATCCATAACGTAGCCTTTTTTTTAGAGCTAAATGCCACATCTGTTTTATAATAGCTATTAAGTTCCAGAGTTTTGCATCCCGTAGCATACATCTTCCCATTTGACTAAACCTAGAGATCGACCACCCGTTTTACAGCCCCAAAGAAACTCTTTACAGATTCTATTGACAGCAGTAGTAACACTTTGCGGCAATATAAAGATGGAACCCCAGTATGAATGCATAGACATGAGCACAAAATTAATTAACATTAATCTTCCGGCATAAGAAAGATGCCTAAAACTCCAACACTTAATTCAGGCTACGATTTTGTTTATAACCCCCTGACACTCCACTTGCGACCATTTCTTCAAGGACAATGAGACTCGCAGATATCTCATTGGGAAAGAAAAACTGCAAAATGAGTAATAGCTTTTCTTGTAAGTCTTCTCCAGTCCCTCCAAAATAAATGGACGATTTCTCCTGATTTGCAACTAAGCCAGTGGTCTCTGAGAACTCCCTAAACACTCTCATGACCTTTGTTATTGTATTTACATATGCTTTGCAGAAGATCATAAGATCGTCTCAAAGCAAATGTTAGTGAGTTTTAGCTCTTTACATTTCGGGTGAAATTTGAATCCTGACATAACAGCTTTCTTTAAACTCCTTGTTAAATACTCCATAACTAAAACAAACAACATAGGAGATATAGGATCTCCTTATCGTAAACCTCTCCTTCTAGGGAAAAAACCAGAACAACACCCATTTATCATTAGTGAGTACACATGAGTTGTTATACATGCTTTAATCCAAATTCTGAACTCTTTCGTAAAGCCAAACCCTAGTAGCATTTCTTCTTCGAATCCCCATTCCACCGAGTCATACTCTTTCTTTAAATCTATTTTCATCATAACTCTACCACTAACTCCTTTTCTCCTAGACAACCTAATCAATTCTTGGATAATCAAAATATTGTGAAGTATTTGCCTATTTTTTACAAATGCATTCTAGTTTTCATCGACTAGAATGTCCATAATATCTTTCAGTCTATTACACATAACTTTAGAAATGCACTTATAAACTACATTACAACAGGCTATAGGTCTGAATTGACTAGCATGCATAGGAGATTCAACTTTAGGAATTAGAACAAGATTCGTAGAGTTTAGCTGTTTCAGTACCTGCCCTGTGGCGAAAAATTCCTGCACAGCATCAATCACGTCGTTTTCCACCACTGTCCAAGCAGACTTGAAAAATCCAACCCCATAACCATCCGGCCCCGGGCTTTTGGTATCATTCATTTCCCATAGAGCCTTCTTGATCTCTTCCCTTCGTACAGGTTTGATGAGCCCAACATGTTGTTCAACTGACAGAACAGTGCCCATCTGGAAAACTTCCTGATCAGCTGCCCTTCTATTCGTATTTTCACCCAATAGTCTCTGATAAAAATCCACAAAGTGTTGTTCTACTCCTCCCAATCATTAATTGTTTCCCCTGCATCATTTGTGACTGTCCAGATCCGATTCTTCATTACTCTGATTTTTAGTTTGGAGTTAAAGAATCTGGTGTTCTCATTTCCTTCTGCCACCCACTGTTTTTTTGCCTTTTGCTGTAGAAAAATAAGTGCAGCTCTACTAGACTGAACGTACTCCTCAAAAGCCATCCTTTCTTCCTTCTGATAATCTTCATTAACAGGATTACAACTCAACTGAACCTGCTTTTCCTCCAACTTAACCTTATCCTTCTAAGCTTTAACCACTATATCAGCAAAGCATTCCCTGTTTAGTGCTTTTAGTTGTGGTTTAAGCCTTTTTAATTTAGTACAAAGCTGATACATTTTCGTCCCTTTCCTGGTTCACTCCAACTTTTTTGCACCACTTCTAGAAATTTAGATGCTTGACTCCACATGTTGAAATATCGAAACGGTTTGGCTTTAGTCTGAACTTCAGCAAAAACTTGCACCAGCATAGGAGAATGATCTGAGATCCCCTCCGTGAGTACGAATGCCACTGAATCAGAATAACTATCAATCAAATCCCTGTTTACCAATGCCCTATCCAATTTTGAATAAACTCTATCCGCCCCCATACGCTGATTGCACCATGTATACATTTTACCGTTCTGTCTCAAATCCATCAATTGACATTCATCCATACAGAGCTGAAACTCCTCAAAATCCTGCAATGTGATAGGTCTACCACCCACCTTTTCCTCTGGTTTCAAAATGCTGTTGAAGTCCCCAATTAGTATCCATGCTCCCGTTGTTTGATTCAAAATCTGTACCAAATCACACCACGACTGTCTTCTCTCCTCTACTGCATTCGAACCGTATATACCAGTGAAATAAAAACAACTATTATCCTTCTTAAGTCTAACCTGACAGTGAACTAATTGATCAGTTTGACTTATAGGATCAACAGTCAAGCTATCATCCCATAACAACATAATTCTTCCCCTTTCATGACTTGCATAATTCGTACACCAGTTTCACTTTCACCCCATCCAGTTCTGCTTCAAGTATGCTTCCCCCCTTTCTTTTATCATCTTAGTCTCTACTAAACAGATTAAACTAGCTTTATAAACATTCATCATTCCTTGCACTTCTTTTTGTTTTAAAGGAGAATTTAAACCCCTAATATTCCAGCTAAGTAGGCTATACATGATTAACAGGTTCTTTATCAAGCAGTATGCCCAACTTAGTCCCTGCTTTCTCCTGTGTAGTTCCCTTGTCATCCAAAACACATACAACTTCTTTGGCACTCCTTATAGAAGGCTGCACAACAGCTGTTTCCTGAGTATCTTTAATGACTAAGCCATTGCCTGCTTGTTTCACTGTCAGAAGACCAGCATATTTATTGGGTGTCTCATAGTTGTTCACACCAATGGGCTCTTTGCTAGACGTTTACAGCATAAATTTTGGATAAAAAGTAAACTAAAACACCATATCATAATGAAAACATCCACTTTCTATACACATACTTTGTCTATCTACAAAAATAATCTATTTTGTGGTAATCTAGTACAATAACAAAATGAACTATTTTTCTTACACGGAATGAGTATCTACTAGTAATATCAATTGAAGTGTTTCTTGATAATAAGATGTTGATTTTTTTTTATCATTTACCTATTTTTCACATAAGTGGAATTAGCCACCATTAAGCAAAGTGGAGTTTTCTTATGGACGGTGAGACCCAATCCTTCTTCCATGTCCAAATCCTCTGCCACGATTCCCTCTGGAGTTACCCAATCAAACACAAGTAAAAGATTAGCGAGTGCAAGTTCAACGAGTGGCACCGCGAAATTGATTCCGGGGCAACTTCTCCGACCAGCACCAAATGGTAACAGCTCAAAGTTCTGTCCTCTGAAATCCACCCCAGAATCCAAGAACCTTTCCGGGTTGAATTCCTCTGGATTGTCCCAACATTTTGGGTCATTCGAAATCGCTGTCACGTTCAAGAAAACTCTTGTTTTTGCAGGAATTGTGTAACCCCCCACAATGCAATCTTCCAGAGTTTCTCTAGGAATTAGTAAAGGGAGTGGAGGATGCATCCTCAAAGATTCTTTTACCACACACTTTAGGTACTTGAGTTTTGCAAGATCAGTTTCTTCAACCTTGTCTTTTCCTTCACAAATTTCTCTGATTTCCATCTGGGCTTTTTTCATCACTGATGGATTTCTAATCAGTTCTGCCATTGTCCATTCCAAGGTAGCTGCTGAAGTATCACTCCCAGCTGCAAGAACATCCTGCAAAAATTTCTCAAAACGAAAAAATGGATTCATTAATTAGACTAATAAAGCCTAAAAAGCAGAGGAATTCTGTATGTTCATACCGCTAGAACACCTTTCACATGTTCATCAGTAGGCCTATTTGGTTGACTTGAATTTCTCTGTAGTCGAAGCAATACATCAACAATGTCTTCTTCTTCTCTACATCTAGCCCGGTTGGGATCAAGATGCTCTGTTATTACTTTGTCAAAGAACTCATCCAGTTCTCTGAAGTTTTTATCTATTCTTGAATTCATACCATTGAAGTTGTTAATCCAACCCAGCCAAGGCACAAAATCAGCAACATTCACCTCACCTAACAGCTCCTGTGTCTCATAAAGAATTCGATCAAATTCGCTCTTTTCGTCGTAAATTCTTCCAAATGCCACTCTGCATATAACATTATTAGACAGTGAAATAGCCAGCTTGCTAAGATTGATTGGCATTTTTTCTGAAGATATACAATCAGCTATACTTTTCAGCATTGAGGCTATTTTTTCGTCGCGAATCGCCTCGAAAAACTGCACTTTCTTCACACTTAACAGCTCCAGCACTAAAACTTTTCTCATCTCCCTCCAGTATTCACCATAAGGTGCAAATGATACCGCCGACCCGTTGTAAGCCAGCTTTTTTCCGGCACACAACACCGGCCGGCCGGAGAAAGCGAGATCGTGGCTCTTGAATATTTCTCTGGCCATATCGGCGGAGGAGACCACTAAAGTGTTAACTGAACCAAGCCGTAAAAGCATTAGAGGCCCGCATTTGTTTGAAAGATGGTGAAGAGATCTGTGAGGCAAATTTCCCAGCTGGTGGAGGTTTCCGATGATCGGGAGTTTCGGAGGACCAGGGGGAAATCTTCCTCTTCTTGGTTCTTTCCACTTCTTGATGAGTAATAAGCACGGAAATAAAGATATGAAAAGACTAATACATAATATCATTTGGTAACTCATCTCTGTAAACATGGCTTTCTAGAATGGAAAAAGATGAAAAGAATTATGGAAGAAGAAAGGCCTAAACTGAACAGAGAAACCATGGAAGAAACTTGTAAGGAAGATCTAATTTAGAAGGAGGATTGACGGTGTTTCTTTGTGGATGAGAGCTGCTTGTCCACGTAACCATAATTTGGCCTTATTTGGACAATGATCTTGCTTGTGTTTTCTAAACACAAAATAGTCAAACTCCATTCCTCAAAAAAAAAAAATAATAATAAAATAAAATAAATAAATAAACTAATAAATTTGATAATTTAATCTTTCATATTGGAGTTTGAATTCGATATCATGTTTATTTTCGAATTTACCAAATAAAAAATGATATATATATATATATATATATATATTCAAAATCCATATTTGGGAGCGAAATTTGTAAAAATGGACAAGTTTCTTGGACAGTGAATATGCATTTGACGAAAAGGGTCCAAGGTCCAACCCATGGTTTTGAATTATTTTAAAAAAATGATATAAATATGAATTCTTTTTACTTTTATCACAAAATTAAAAAAAAAATTGGATAAGGATACTGAAGATTAAATAATTAGTAAAGAGGGCGGTGCTTTTAAATAATTTGTATTAAGAGTATAACAATTTTTTTTAACAATAAAGATGACTTTTAATCTTGAAATAAAATAATAAATCCTTTTTCTTCATTTCATTTTTCAGCTCATAAATTAAAATCTATTTCCAAAGTAATACAATTGTAATATCTTAATATTAATTTGTAAAATTTAAAAACTTACATGATGAAAAGATATATTTACGTTACCTTAAAAATAAAGTAAAAATTTCATAATATTTAAAAGGAGATCTTACTTTTATTTCTTTGTAATTATAAATATTTTTTTTTCATTTTCATACAAACCCACTCGAAATTGTCTTTTTTTTTTAAAAAAAAAAAAAAATTATACTTAAATGAGTCAAAACAACACAGTTTACAAGAGTTCAGCCACATATTTTGTATTCTATGTTAGTAAGATATTTAAATTTGATAATATCAAAAGTTTTGCACTTTTAGTTTGCTCAGTCGATGACACATACATAGTGCAATTATTTTTACAACTTTAGTATTGTAAAATTAATCATACTCTTAGAAAAAATAATTAGAAAAACTTTCGAAGTATTTTAATTAATGTAAATAGAAATTTTCTAATAGTTAAAGTCATGTTTATATAATTAAATTGTTATGTTCTAATACAAATTATTCAAAGGTATTGCTCTTTTTAATTATTAGTATTTATTTCCTCTTCACCTCTTCTCATCCAAATTTTTCCTTAAAACAAAAAAAGAAACAAAATTCAAACTAGAGAATTGTTTCAGGATGGAGGAAATATGTTTTAAGTCACTCCGGCCACCTTGAAGTTAGTCAAGATTGTAATAAATCATGTGGAGGGGAATTGTTCTCATAGGATAGAAGTCAATGAAGGAAGCTACAAGACGAATTAAACAAGCATAATTGGAGGTGAGTTACTACAATTCCAAGATATTTTGTGTTAAATATATACAAACGAATATCTTTGTGTTAAATACAAATGAATTCATCTGTTACATATAGTAGTATTTTCAAATGAGTCACATTGTCTAATAGTAACAAAGAAATAAACCAAAAACAGATGTTTTTAAATAATGAAGTTAGATGAAAGGAAAAAAAAGAAAAAAAAACGGTAAAAGAGTTATAATCGGCTTTTCTTTTGCAGTACAAAAGAAAATTTTAAACGAGGGATATTAGAAATTTCACCCTTTGTGAAACCAGGAGGGTACGTATTCTCCATACTTTATTGAACAACTATTAGGAAATTAATTCATAGATCACGCAAATTTATGTGGGAGTTTTTCTTTGTCAGTCAGGGAAGTGTATTAGTCCTTGTTTGGACATCAACTCATTTTACATTTTCACTCATTTTACCTCTTAAACACAAAACCTAATGGAAAAGAAAATATCATCCAAACAACTTTCTTTACATTTTAAATTCCAACTTGAAACACTTTTTGTTAGTGTAATGACCATTTTAGAATTATAAATAGTTCAGTGACAAATTTGGCAGAATTCCGTTATTGAGTGATTGTTTTTGAAAAAGTTCTTTTTTGCAGTGACTATAATTGACAGTATTTAATTGTTTAGTGATGACTTGTACTTGATATTTCAAAATATAATTCAAAATACTTTTTTTTCAAAACCAACATCCAAACAATATTTTTATTTCCTATTTAATTTTTAATTTGAAACACTTTTCACTTTTAAGTGGTAAAATGAAATGTAAATTGACGTCCAAATAAGCACTTTGCCTCAAACAGTTTTAGAAGCAGAATCTCTTTTGGATTTAAGTGTAAGGGGGTTTTGTTTGAAGTGCATACTATAATCAGAGATTAAGGTGGTCTAATCTCAGACAACTGTGTCTTCAAGATGTAGATTGATTTAGATACGTTCATGTTAATTGGTAACATAATCAGATGCTGACCTTTGCTTGAAAGCTTTACCCTTGATTGTTTCTCTTGGACCTAATCTCATATATTGAATATGGGATCCCTAATACAGTCTAAAAATTGCATAAACATTGTGTTGAACAATAGAATTTACACTGCAGCTTGTAGGGTTCAAAAAAAATTACTTCTATAATATATTCTTGAGTTTGACTGTTATTTAACAAACCGAGTTCTATCACAATATTGGAAACTGAACAATCAATTCGAAACCGAGAAAATATTATATATGTTGACTTTTACTATTTTAGCTCAACAAAATGAACTAGTTTTTTTTTTTATGGGATATTATGCAATTAAGTTAGAACAAAGCTTAAGACAATGGATTAGTTCATCTCAGTTACTCTGGTTGAAATATTCTCTCTGTCTCAAAATTATTGTCCAGTTTGAGCTTTCACTTTTAGTACAATTTGAACTGAAAATGGAATTCCAAACTGGACAATAATTTTGAGTCGGATGAAGTAATATTTTTCATTTACTCAAATTAACTTTCATTTTTTGACTGGCCCTTTGTTAAACGAAGAACAAAAGAAGTCGAAACCCTATACACATATTCGTAAATATAATTACTACAATAACACGGACTCTCTAAATATTTTCCTCACACTATTTGGAGAATGCCTCACTACTAAGAAGCTACTACTCTGCCTCTTGAGGCTCTCAATTTGGGATGACAAAGGCAACCTTTCCCGAGTCCCTTTTATAGGCAAAACCGCAAAAGCCATGAGAAGAACTGAAATTTTGAGCCACGATTTTGTTTGGCCAGATTTCTCTTGCATTTATAATTCAGTCATGCTGGCAGTGAGCTTCACTGTCCCGAAGTCTAATTAGGCAATGTAAAACAGCCACAATAATTGACATTAAACTCCGAATTTCATATCTTTAATTTAATTGACTCTTTTTATTGAAAATGTTTTATATATCTATTTTTTTATTCATAGTGATATAGAATAAAACAGTTCTTCCTTTCTCCTTCTTTTGCTTAAAGACTTCCAGTTAATAATTGAATTCACAAACATGGCAGTTATTGATAATGATTTTACTTTCCTTTCCATTCTGCAAAGCCTAGGGTCCCGTTGCATATTTTGAGGATTTGGTCTTGTTATAATTTAAAAAATAGGAAAGAGACACATCAATATAATATTAAATTTTCCTAATTTTTAAATTTTTTCTGCTAAGCAAGTAAACTTACCAAAATTTAAAAAATTGAATAATTTAGGAAAGTTTCAATATTTAAAGTAACCAAATTATCATTAATTAATAATTATATTTCTTTTTTTCATTATATGTATTGCACAATAGTTATATCTGATTGCACATTAGTTTATAAAACATTGTATGTAATTAATTAATAATTAATTGTAACATATTTTGTTTTTCTTTTAAATTTTTATAGTAAGTAAATAATAGATATCCAAGTATTGCACTTTTGAGGATGCAATTGCACATTCAAGAAAAATACATTGTACGTTCACTTTAAACAATTGCATTAGAACAAAACTACTCATAATTCTTAATTAAACTTTCCTATTTTATTTTTACATTACAAAAAAAAAAAAAAAATCTACGTGTGATTGTACATTTGATCATTAGAACTTGCACCTATAGTTATACATAATTGCACATTGACTTAAAAAATATTACACCAGGGTGGGAGGGTTGGGTGGGGTGGTTAGGAGATTAGGATGGGGGATGGTTATTTCCGGGAGGTCGAGGGTTTGATTTTCATATGGGCCATCCAATTTTTTCTTTTAAATAAAACATTGCACCATTTTTTATAGAAGTTTTATTTAGTAATATTGCAAAGGAAAAAAAAAGTACATGTGTATAATGAAGTGGAGAAGACAATGGTGATAAGAAATAACGTACACACAAATGTACCACGTTTAAAAATATATTATTATGCTTAAAAATTCTATATTATTATGCTTAAAAATTCCAAAAAAAATTGCAAATAAAGTTCTATTATTCAAAATAATACATTAATACTCGCTTACTAAGCAATGATAGAGAAATTGACAATTTATAGTGAAATGAGATAGTGACTTATGAAAAGATAAATACACCACCCATACTAAACATGTGTATTTATTAATTAAAGGTAAAAATATAATTTTAGAAAAAAATAAAATTTTAACGAAAAAATGACAAAAAAATAGGGATCTTAATAATTCCAGACATCACTAACTATTTCTTTTTTTACTATACATATCATTTTCTAATTTTTATTGTTTCATTTTTCTTTTACAATTTTCTTCATAAAACCTTACAATTTTGCTTGAGCTATTATTTACGTATTACACTCATGAGTAGTAGTTTTTATTTACAACTTTTTATTTTATTTCTTTGGTATAATTTTCCATTTTATAAATATAATGGATTTGTGCATATGTCATTGCACGTTAAAATATATACAATTGAAACATAAAAAGAACACAAATATTTATCATTAATAAAGTATAATAATGGATATATTAGCGTTATATATTAATTGAAAGAATTGCACCCTTTATAACTAATTAAGAATTGAACCTTTGTTATGACTCTAGAAAAATATAATAGTGCTATTGGGTACCTGTTTAAAAAACATTGCAAACATCAAACTCGAATTTGATGCCATATGAATTTGAATTCATCTAAAAAAAATTAAAAAATAGCAAATCCCTTCATAGTGACTCAATGGTACATTAGAAAAAAGAAAAACAAAACAAAACATGCACGAAGAGAGGAAAAGAAAGAAAGAGATTTTTTTAAAAAAATACAACCTACATAAGGGGAAAGGGAAGATTAATCGCTAATTAAAACTATACCATAAATAATTCTTTGGATTTACAAGGTTGCTTGTTAACTTTCTTTAAATCAAACGATTGTGATTCATTTAGACTAATCTAACGGTTATTAATAAAATAACGGGACCGTATCCTCAAAATTATCAACGGGACTATAGCTTTACCTATTTTTTATCTCTTGACAGTTGACACCTAAATGTTTTGTTCATATAGATGTCTTCATTAACAGATGGAAACAATTGATGCTACTGCTAAGAGAAATTTCCAGTAAAAAGGGGAAATTGTATCCGCGCGCCACATTCGGTCTGATTGACTGGCTTTTAACTTCAAGCCCGAAACTGCATTAATATTCTATCACCAATCGGAAAGCTACACGTATTGCAAGGAACATACGAATTGAACACCCGCCTCATGATATACATTCAATCTCAAGACAAGTGAAGTTCGTAATCAGACATATGAGTGATTCCCCGAGGGAGATCCCATTATTTCAAAAGAGCATTAAAATGTGTTTTCAGAAACTGCTATCATATTTAGTATCTGTCTCGTATCGATAAAAAAAGGAAAAAAAAAAGAAGAAGAAGATACTTTCCTAATAAAAAAACTTCCTTATTTTCAATCTTCTGCCTTATTAAGTAACTTTTTTTCTTTTTGAAGATTTTGCCCTAATTACTTTTATCAAGGCTGTCATACAATCAAGTCCTGCAGTCCACGGCGGCAAACAGCTTTAACGTGATAGGAAGAAGCCTATCTGAATTCCCTGAAGAAATCATTCAGTTAATACTTTCTTTCCTCACAAGCAAAGAAGCAATCCAAACAAGTAGTGTATCAAAGGAGTGGTACAAGGCATTGCGAAAAATTCCCTATATGGTTTTTGATTACAAATCAATCCTCTCGGAGTTATTGGATTCTGATTGGCACGACGAGACATGGATGGAAAATAGGAAAAGATCTGATTTAAATCACATTATCTCCACTTTACAAAGGTACCAAGAAGAGAACATTGTTGTAGAGATGCTCAAATTGGACATTGAGGATTCCCAATTTGCGGGTCATATAAATCAATGCATGGAACTTGCGAGAGGATTGATTTATATGAGACACCTTTCTGCGGTTGTGGCGAGTAAAGGTTTATTCCAGCGGCTGGGAGAAAAGTTTTTTGATTTGCCTGTTCCTGTTTTAGAAGCAGAATCGCTTGTTGAATTACACCTACGGATGTTTATTTTGAAGTACCACGAGAGGGTGATGTGGCATAATCTCGAACGACTACGTCTTGATTGTGTAGATTTCGGTCCATCAATGTTCAAGAGCGTGGTGACAAGCTGCCAACGGCTAAGGAGTTTATCACTTTCTTACGTAAAAACGAATTTCGTTAAATTGTCGCATGTATTCCCACATCTTGAAGATCTTTCAATAGAATCTTGCCCGTGCTTGGAAACAGTCCAAATTTCAAGTGGTACTGTTAGGAAAATTAAGCTAAGAGATAACTATGGATTACGGGAAGCACAATTTGACGTGCCTAACATTGTTGTGTTTGAATATAAAGGAGAGGTTATGACAAAGTTGTCATTTACGGCCGTATCGGGTAGATGGACTTCTAGGGTTAAGTTGCATCACCTTTTTAATGTGAACACTTCCTGGTTCGTGAGATTAAAAGAATTCCTAACACGACTAAATAAGTCTGTCGTTCATGTTGATGCTTCGTTTGGTGATAACGTTGTTTGCAATCTGAATGAAGCGACAAAGGATCGCGCATTCTATGAAGTTAATGAAGAAGTTGCCGAATTTTGTGTCTCAATTTCGGCATATTCAGCATTGCCTGAAGCGTGTGCTCTTGCAATCATTGATGGTATCTTCTATTCTTGTCATCCTCGAGTTATAACAACGGAATGCAATTGGCATTGGCATGGAATCACTAAATTACTGCATGAGATGTTGGTGTTCAGAAATCAACCGGATCATTCTTGGCCAAGGAGGTTAAAGTTAGGGAAAGATATTGAGCTTTTCAATTCCAAATCAAGCCAGAGCATGCAACTTGACAAAACATTGGAATGGAAGGGTTTTTTGAAGGGATTAAGAGCTAAAAACGGTTTAGATCTTGTTTCCGTCAGCTTCAATTTGGAGTGGAGAACTTAATAAATGTAGCTGAATAGATTATGTCACATTCTTGGAGTCCGACTCTAAATCTTAAAATGCTCCACACAATATTGATAGAAATCTCTTCCACAACACCACCATCCCCGGCCCATGCAGTCTTGGCAGTTTCTTTCACAACTTTTTCCAGTTTTCAGTTTATTTTATCATTATGGTCTTTAATTATCAATAAGTTCTGATAAGAGATTGATCCAAATATTGATCTCTTCTGTATAAAATATTAATCAAAAGTTAGTTTGCCAACTATCAGACACTAGTTAGTTTGCTAACTAGTTTTGTGCGTCAAGTTCCTCTTGTTCGCTTTTGTATCACAATTTTTTCTTTCATCCGAAAAAAAAAAAAAATATTAATCAATAAATTCTGCAGGGATTCATTGAAATGTTGCACCCTCTGTCCCATCTCATCCATTTTGGTATACTATTTTATTTAAACTTAACCATTAAAATGTGACAGATATGCTGTCTATTAGTACGTAGTTGTAATCAGGTGCTTATTACTCGCCAGTCTTAAGGATAAACAATCTTAGATTCCAAATGTCAAACGTGATTATTTTATTTGACGCTATGATTTCAATTGTATGTAATTCTTGAATTTGAGCTAGGGTTGCGTTTTGAAGAGAATGAAGAAAAATGGAAGAAGAACTTGAATCTGAATTTTCAGTGTGTCTCGAAAAAACTTAACTTTAGTTTCCTGTACAGAGCTATATATATATATATGAATACATCTAGCTGAACTACGTACGTATTGCTTACTTCTACTCTACGGAATTTATACAAGTATTTTAGTATTTACATAACAGTCCCTTCTGTATGAAACTAAGCTAAATATATTCACAAATATACCAATTGACTAAGTCAACTCAACTATAATGTGGATGCTTCTACATCCCCTCCGCAAGCTGGAAGACGATTGTAACTTTGAAAACCCAGCTTGGAGAGTAATGTATGAAACTGTGGAGGAGCTAAGGCTTTCGTGAAGATGTCGGCAAGTTGTTGAACAGAGGGAATATGCAGCGGGACTAAAAAATCGAGTTCATATTGATGGCGGACAAAGTGGCAATCTATTTCTAGATGCTTTGTCCGTTCATGAAACACGGTGTTTTCGGTGATGTAGATGGTGGCTTTATTGTCACACCATAGAGACACTGGTAGGGGAACAGAGATGCGGAAATCATGGAGCAAATAGTTGAGCCAAAGAAGCTCTCTTGCCGTGACACTGAGACAATGATACTCAGCTTCGGCGGATGAAACAGAAATGGTTGGCTGCTGTTTAGTTTTCCATGAAACCAAAGAAGACCCAAGGAAGATACAGAACCCACTGGTAGATCTTCTGGTAATGGTATTTGACCCCCCAATCTGCATCAGAGTAAGCTTCAAGATGGAAGGAACTGTCTGAGGAATAAAAAAGACCATGATCTGGAGTTCCTTTGAGGTATTTAAGCACATGAATCAATGAATTCCAGTGATCCGTACACGGAGATTGCACATGTTTACTCAATTGCTGCACAACAAATGTTAAATCTGGTCTGGTGAAGTTGAGGTATAACAACTGACCCACAAGTTTTTGGTGAGAAGAAGGATCAGAGAGATGAGCACCAGGTTGATCTGAGAACTGATGGCCGGCTGGTAGAGGTGTTGTAGTGGCCTTACATCCAAGTAAACCGGCTGAAGTGAGTATATCCAGGATATACTTTCTCTGGGTAAGATAGAGACCTGTTGAAGACCGGGTAAGTTCTATCCCCAAGAAATATTTTGCAAAACCAAGGTCTTTGATGGTGATTTTCTTATCAAGATATTGTTTAACCTGCTGGACAAGCTCTTCATTTGATCCTGTGATCAGAATATCGTCAACATAGATCAGAAGAGCTAGGAAACTGTTTGGTTCTGTCTTAGTAAACAGACAAGGGTCACTGACTGACTGAGTAAACCCATAAGCTTGAATTTGCAAACAAAATTCCTTGTTCCACTGTCTTGATGCTTGTTTTAACCCATATAGGGACCTCTGTAACTTGCAAACCTGCCCTGCCTGTACTTTGAAATAACCATCTAGTGGAAGTAAGTACACTTCCTCTTCCAAGAAACCATGCAGGAACGCATTATTTAAGTCCAACTGGTAAATGTTCCATCTTGATGCAGTTGCAACTGCCAACAGCAATCTTACTGTTACTATTCTGGCCACTGGGGAGTAGCTATCATAATAATCAACTCCCTCCTTCTGATTATATCCCTTTGCCACCAGTCGGGCTTTCAACCGTTCAACTGTTCCATCTGAATGTAGCTTGACCTTATACACCCATTTTCTCCCAACAGGCTTCTTTCCCACTGGTAAAGTTGTGACTGTCCAGGTTTCATTTGCTTCCAAAGCATTCAATTCCTTTTGCATGGCTTCCACCCATCTGGGATCTTGCCGTGCTTCATTGTAAGTTGCTGGTTCTTTGATATTATCCAGTTGAGCAACAAAAAACTTATGTGCTGTTGAAAATGGTAGCTGGATATAGGGATATATATGTGGTGTGTGAGGTGAAGAAGAAGGAACATGAAAAGAAGGACTAAGCTGAGGTTGTGTTAACCAAGCCTTTTCTGGAAGGAAATCATTCATCCAAACTGGAGGAGTTTTTATTCTGGTACTTTTCCGAGTGACCAATGGTACTGGAATAGGTTGAGATGTGGGGTTTGAATTAGAAAGTTGGCTGTTGGAGGTAAATTCTGTCTCTGGTAGTGTTGATGTATTTCTATCAGGGGAGAATGACTGATTTACTAAGGGGGGAATTGTGACAAACATTTTGTGTAGTGTGATCAGAAACTTGATCATGATGATCAGCCATCTGGAAAGAGTAGAAATCCCAATCATCCATACTATCCACTAGCGGTGGTGTAGGAAATGTAGGTTGTAAGGAATGAGTATCAGGGACTTTGAGGAAAGGGAATACATCTTCATGAAATATGACATCACTAGACACGAAAACTTTTCTGTTTTCTAAATCATACACTTAACAGCTCTAGCATCAAACTTCCTTTTGTGAGGTAGTGTGTTTGTAGCAAAACAAAGGCTGCCAAACACTTTTAGATGTGTGATATTTGGGGGTTTTGAATAAAGAATCTCATATGGTGTTTTAAACTGAAGGACTGAAGAAGGTAGCCGGTTGATCAAGTATGTGGCTGTTAACAAAGCATCCCCCCAAAACTGTTTGGTAAATCCTGACTGGAATAAAAGGGCTCTTGCAATTTGGAGTAAATGTTTATGTTTCCTTTCCACCACTCCATTCTGTTGAGGGGTGTAAGGTGAGGATTTTTGATGAATGATTCCAAGGTTTAATAGCAAACTTTGACACTGAATATTCAAGAATTCAGTACTATTATCAGTCCTTATGCATTTGACTGTTTTTGAAAACTGAGTCTGAATTTGCTTGAAGTAAAATTCAAGGATAGAAGTGGTCTGAGATTTATGGTGCATGAGGAAAGTCCAGGTTACCCGGCTATAATCATCTACTAAGGTTAAGAAATACTGTGCACCACTAAGGGATTTTTGTGCATGAGGCCCCCAAACATCAACATGTATTAGATCAAAACAGGTTGTGGTTTGTATTGAGCTAATAGGAAACTTTAATCTCTGTTGTTTTGCCATTGGGCAAACATTACATTTATTTGAAACAGATCCATTTTGATCACTGAACTTTCCTAAGTGAATCAATATGGAATCTGGACCATGTCCTAATCTGTGATGCCATAACACATTATCATTATGACATACAAGATTGGAAGTATGAACTGTCTTATCTCTAAGAATCATTACAAAAGGATGGTTCACATGTGTAGATATAAACTGTCTAATGGTTTCTGTGGAAAAGGAATCTTGGTCTAAAACATAAAGCTTGTTCATCATCCTTCCTATTGCAATGATCTTCCTATTCTCCTGGTCCTGCAACAAACAAAAGTTTGTTGAGAACAAATAGTCAATATGTGAGGAACTGGCCAATTTACTGACTGATAAAAGGTTATATTTGAAAGTAGGGATATGCAAACACTCAGACAGTTCAAGGGAATCAGAAAGCTTAATGGTACCTATGTTTTCTATGGGTTTGTGACTGCCATCAGGAAGAATTACTGGTGTATTAATAGAAACAGGCTGGAAATTGGAAAACATTTTCAACAAGGCACACATGTGTCCTGTTGCTCCTGTATCAATGAACCATAAACTTGACAACAAAAACTCTTCATCAGACAGTTTATTTAAAACTTCATAATTGCTCATACCTGCAAAATCATGGTAGTGAGCAAAATTCACTTGTGGCAAGTCTCCCATGGTCTGTTTGCCTTTGATCATTTTACTCATTTCTTGTTGAAGTAAGCTTCTCATCATCTGTTGCAAACTGCTCCCTTCATCTATCTTCTGCTCATTAGTGATATCTGCAAGGTTGCTGAATATCCATGTGACCTGGTTGATTGATCCTTCTTTCCTTCCTTATGATTATCGTTCCACCATTCCGGATAGCCTATAAGCTTGAAGCATCCTTCCTTAATATGGCCAGGCATCTTACAGTCATCACATTTGAGAAGCTTCTTAAGAGCTTTGTCCCTCATGTACTCATTTTCCTTTGCATTCTTGTTAAAATTTCCTTTCTTCGTGAAAAAGGCATTCTGATCATCTAGCTGATGAAAAAGAACATTTCCTCCACCATTCATTCCTGAAGTGTTCTTCTGTGTTGGATGTACAGAATTTGTCATTCCACCATATCCTGAACTGACTGATGATCCTGTGTTCATGTTAACCTGCTGAGTATACATGGCACTCTGATCGGTAATCATTCCATAGGTACTGTTTACAGAGTTCTGTTCTTCAACAGTAAGCACCATTCCATAGGCCTTTTTCACATCTGGAAGTGTCTCCATCATCAATATATTGTTTCTTACCGCTGTATATGTATCATTCAAGCCTGTAAGAAATTGGTACAAACGATTCTTTGCGTCTTTGGCCCCTTCAGT